TTGCTGAGTTTATCAAAAAGTTCTCGTTTCCACACATATGATTGCTTGCCCCAATATCTAGATACCATACCGAGTTGGTAGAAATCTCATCAGTCTTTGATTTCAAGCATGCTCCAACATCCGCCTTCTTTAGCTCCTCAAGCTCAACCCTCTGTTTATTCATAATTTCATTAGCTTCATCTAGAAGCCTCCCTATCCGCTGAATCTCTTCATCTTTTTATTTGAGTTCTTTCTCAAGGTTTTCTTTCTCCACAATTGTTGCATCCTTTACCGAGAACACTTCATCCATTCTTGGGATTGGGCTCTCCATGTCCACTGCATCCGAGCTCTTAGCCATCAACAGAATTCCACACTTTTCTTCCACATCTTTAGTAAGGAGATTTGTCTCCCTCTTTGTCTCTGCCTTACAATACTTTGCAATATGGCCTACCTTACCAAGCATTAGTGTTATCACACTTTAATTTAATATAATCTAAATGAATGCCATAATCTTCAAGCAGACTTTTTATCCAAAGAGACTGAGCACAACAACTTCTTGTTGCAATGTACTCGGCTTCAGAAGTGGACAATGCCACACAAGCTTATTTCTTCGAATGCCAAGAGATTAGTGAACATCCTAGAAGATGACAAATGTCACTAGTGGTTTTCCTGTCTAGTTTGCAACCTCCACAATCTAAATCACTATATCCTGGAAGGGACATATTTGCACCTCTAGGGTACCATAATCCAAGATTTTTGGTCCCTTTAAGGTATTTTAGAATTCTTTTTAATATAGTTAGATGTGATTCGTTTAGACATGATTGGAATCTGGCATGCAAACAAACATTGTACATAATGTCAGGACGACTAGCAGTAAGATAAAGGAGAGATCTAATCATACCTCTATACAGATTTTGATCTACATCTTTACCTTTTTCATCCTTGTCCAGGTAATAGTTGGTTGCCATAGGAGTAGCTGCTTCTTTGCACTCATTCATGTTGAACTTCTTCAACAAGTCAACATAGTACTTTAATTCATGTATAAAAATTCCAGCACCTTCATGCTTCACTTATAATCCAAGGAAGTAGAGTTATTAGAATCATGGAAATTTCAAACTCTTTTTCATATTTTCAGATATTTGCTTACACAAAGTACAGTTAGTAAACCAAATACAATGTCATCAACATAAATCTATACAAATAATAAGTCATCTCCAGATTTTTTAATGAATAAAGTTGAGTCAAGTTTACCCCTTTGGAAGTCCTTTTTCAGAAGAAACTTTCTCAACCTTTCGTACTATGATCTAGGAGCCTATTTGAGACCATACAATGTTTTCCTTAGTTTGAATACATGGTCAGGGAACTCAAAATCCTGGAAGCCAGGGGGCTGTTCCACATACACTTCCTCTTTGATGTAACCATTTAAGAAGGCACTTTTTACATCCATCTGGTATAGTTTGAAGTTCAATAAAGGTGCTATAGCAAGGAGTATCCTTATAGCTTCTAATCTAGGCACTAGAGAAAATGTTTCATCATAGTCAGCCCCTTCTACTTGACTGTACCCTTTTACTACCAACCTTGCTTTTGTTTATTATTATAGCACCGGAATCATCCATCTTATTTCGAAAGACCCATTTGGTTCTTATAACCTGTTTAGCAGTCTTTCTTGGAACCAATTCCCATACATCATTTCGCTTGAATTGATTCAACTCCTCTTGCATGGCTAGAAACCAATTTTCATCATTCAAGGCATCATTTACGTTCTTGGGTTCAACTTGTGAGACAAAGGCAACATTCATACAGAACTGGTTTAGTTGCCTTCTTGTAGATACACCCTTTGAGATATCTCCAATGATGTTATTGGTTGACATGTGTCTGAGAGCCTTCCATTCCTTAATTGAATCGGTGCTAGTAGCAGTTCAATTGCATCTGAAGTATGAGTCTCTTAAGTCTTTTCACACTCAGGTTCTTCTCCTGTAGAATCTCTTGCATTTATACAATCTCTTGGATGCATCTTGTTAGTAATATAATCAGCATGTTCATCAAAACCAACATGAATAGATTCTTCAACACATAGAGTTCTCTTATTATACAACCCTGTAAGCTTTGCTAGTTAGAGAGTATCCAATAAAAATAGCTTCATCAGCTTTGGAATTAAATTTTCCAAGATTGCATTCACCGTTGTTCAAAACAAAATACTTGCAACCAAAGACTCTAAGATGAGTGATATTAGGTTTTATGCCTTTAAACAGCTTGTAAGGAGTAAGCTTCAACAAGGATCTAATGATGGTTCTGTTTAGCACGTAGCAAGTTGTGCTCACAGCATTGGCCCAAAAATATTTAGGCAAAGACCTCTCATTGAGCATGGTCTTAACAAGCTCTTCAAGAGCCCTGTTCTTTCCCTCAACAACACTATTTTGTTGAGTTGTCCTTAGTGCAAAGAATTTATGAGATATACCCTGTTCATTTCTCAAAATTCTTATTTTTAAATTCCCTACCATGATCACTTCTGATAGATTTAATTTTGAGATCTTTCTCATTCTGAATAATAAATGCAAAGTTCTTAAATGTCCTTAAAGTATCACTTTTGGTAGCAAGAAAGAAAGTTCAGGTATATCTAGAATAATCATCAATAATGTTAAGGGCATAAAGGTTTCCTCCCATACTTTTGATCCATGAGGAGCCAAACAGATCCATATGTAACAATTCAAGAGGCCTAGTAGTAGACATCACTCTCTTGGGTTTGAAAGAAGATTTGGTTTGCTTCTCCTTTTCGCAAGCATCACAAAGCCTATCATAATCATACTTTATGCTTGGTAGTCCAATCACAAGATTTATAGGTACAAGTTTGTCTAGATGAGGCATATGAGTGAGAGAACAAAACCTAAGGTAATCTTCACACCATCTAAATTGTTGTATCATTATTTGCACATATCTTTAATTATATCTACTTTAATCCTTTGAAAACCATAGACCATAGAACGTTTTTGTTCTTATGTATCTCGATACTCAATTTCCTACATGATAATGAGCTTGACTAGGACAATCATAAAGTTGTTTAGCAAACTTACAACAACTGTTATGTTTGGTCTTAGTAGTTATAAGATACAACAAAATTACAATTAAGCTTTTATAAATAGAAGTTTCTACTATCATTAAATGACACTTTCTCATTTACACCTTCACAGTTCTACATGAGAAACTTCTTCAATATTCCTAAAACGTATAATTTTTTTTTTTGTAATGAACATTCCTACGTTATTTTTGGTGTATTTACATTCTAATAAAGTAATTCATTTCTCCTAAATCAATCATTTCAAATTGAGTTTCTATGTCATACTTAAATTTGCTCAAGAATTGGAATTATCAATGACTAGTAAATCATCAGCATACAAAGAGACAATGGACTACGCTTTATTGCTTGAAATATTCACATACAGAATAGCTTCATTCTTATTTTGTTTAAACACCTTATGACAGATAATTATCAATTCTATTATAAATCCTTGTAGTCTATTCAATTCACAAAGAGCTTTTTAATGTTATTGATTGTTTTCATCGCCTAAAACAACGAAGTCTTTAGGTTGCTTGATATAGAAGTCCTCTTCAATCAAAACCATTTAAAAAATATAATTTTGCATCAAAATTAATAAATTTCTAACCTAAATGCAACTAGCAACTTGATAGTATCATGCCTTTGGCACCAAAGTAAATACATTTGAAAAATCAACTTCGTATTGTTCATGATAGCCTTTGATAACCAATCTAGCCTTTAGTTTATGTATTTAACCATTAAGATTGAATCAGTAACCTTGTGATTAGTTGCCTTGTGTAGAAGTTGTCGTGTTTTATATTTTTAATCACATTTATCTCCTCATGCGTATATAGCATATCTCCACCTATCTATTTCAACAAATTCCTAATACTTTTTAAGTTTCAATGTAGTAATGTTACATCTTTCATAAATTTCAGCAAAAGTTTTGGTAACTCTTAGTGGAACATCTACATTATGTCATCTAAATTTCTTCAATTTATGAATATTGTTTTTGGATATTGTTTACTTCGAGATAGTGATTGGGATACCTAATTGTCTCTCCAACACTATTTTTTTTTCTGAATTTTTTTAATTGTCGCCTAAAATAGCTAATTAAATGTATAAGATGAAGAGAATAATGTACTTATTCACCCAAAACAAAGTAATTAATGTAATGAGAGTCCTAGAGTGATTTTTTAAATGTGGTCCTTCTAATTATTTGCCATGACCTTTTAGAATATTATATGGATTTGTTGATTCTTTCTATGTTAATTGGTACCAACTTTCACTTTGACAGCTACGCATGCAGAAGAAGGAAGGACACCATTGGGTAGATGGGTCAGGCAGTAATCAAACAGAAGCCTCTTCCTGGAACACCAAAGCAAAAAATTATAAAGCATGGGACTTTTGTGGCAGAAGTAAGCGTGCATATCAAAAAGCAGAAAAAGATCATTCAATTACACCAACACTTACTACACTTTCCTTTCCCTTGTACCTGCAAGATTGTCAATGTTATCACATTTCTGGGCACTATATTATAACCATTAAGAATACAAACACAAAACAAAAATCTAGGTCTCTTAAATATAGTCCTTAACATGAGTTATTATAAAGTTAGACTCTAGGTTAATCTTTTAAAGTATTAAAATGAATAAAATTTCATGATATACTTTTCCATAGTTATGAAATCAAACACTTAATATTATCTTTCAACTATGTGGGATACTAATTTCCAAAACATTTTTGGTTTATACAATTTTTTTACTATTTTTTTATTATAATAACCATTATTTCCAAAATTATATTTTTTTAGTCTTTCTTATTTAAAAACATTTATTTTAGTTTCTACACATATACATTTTTTTTTCGTTCCAACACATTATTTGAATCCATTTTAGTCTTTCAACGAAGATCAAAATAGATAAAAGAAAGTATATTTAAATGAACTAAAAAAGATTTTGTTAACTAGATGGATTAAAAAGTAAAGTAATGGTAACTATATAGGAATCAAAATTGCAATTAAAACGAAGAAAAAGCACTTGGAAAGCAAATAGCAGAGGCTGTATTTAAGTCCTCAAGGCAAATAAACAAGTGGGTATAACTTAATTTCTATTAATATATATATATAGGTAACTGAAGGGGAAGCAATTTAAGCATAAGGTGAATTAAATTAATACACATTAATTTGTTTGTGGTGTCCCCAGCAGTTATATTTGATTAATTTGTTGGCTAATAGTTGAAGTGATAATGTGTTCATCATCAGCAACGGTTTCCCTTTCTGCAGGTAAGTGCACCAGCAGTGACGGTCATGGATCCAACAAGAGAAGAAGGTCTTGCACTGAGACTTGAAGCTCTAGCATAGATGGAAGAAGCACCAGCACCAGATTGCCTGAAGTATGCTCCATTCAAGAACATGTCACCCTCTGATCTCCAATTCCAGCTCATCCACTCACTCTGTGGAGCATCCTCATGCTTTGTTACCTCTTTGCTGAACCTAATGTCTGGAGCAAGAAACCTGTTTCCTTGGCTGTTGATGGTCGGGTTCGCACTCCCTCCAATGGCATACATTTCCCAGTGTGTGTAGTCGTTGTTCACCACATGAAAATACCCGTGTCTGCATCTGCAACAACAGTCACATTCTTTTTGTTAGTGTCACCAAAGTTTAATCATCTTTTCTTGAGTAGTTGCATTGTTTAATGTATGTAAACAAATGGCACATATATACCTTGGCATTCTTTGGACAAGACCTTCTCCAAAATGATTGAAGGCTATGGTGACCTGCATGTTCTTGTCCTGCGTGTAGGAATCACTGTGTCCCAAAAGCATAACCTTGTCATGGTGGGTCATGTAATTGTTGGAGATGGTGATGGCGGTGGATCCATGAATGGCATCGATCAGCCCATCCTGACAATTCGACAGCGAGTTATGATCGATCCAAATATGCTTCGAGTTAAAGATGGAGATTCCGTCGCCGTCCGATTTCGTCCAAAACCCGGAGTGCTCCGGCGAGTCTCTGATGTTGGTGTTCCCGGTGGGCTTGCAATCGTGAATGTGAATCCCATGAACGATCACGTTGCTTACGTAGTGTATGGTGATGCAGCCCCCGCCGGCGATGTGCACGCTCGCGCCTCTGCCGTCGATTGTCTTGAAAGAGTTCACCAGAAGCTCTTGCTTTAGCGTGATGACCATGTCCCTCTTGAAGATTATCCACAGGGGTTCGTCTTGTATGGCGGCGTAACGGAGGGTTCCCGGCTTTGGGTTCACGGCGTCGTCGTTGCCGGAGTCTGTGACCTCGTATATTCGGCCGTTTCTTCCGCCGATGGCGTCCTTGCCGAACCCGATGGCGCAGTCCGCTAGTCTCTGGCGGTTGTTCTCCCAGTTTGGGTTGCACCGCCAGCAGTCGTCGATGGGATTCCCGGTTCCGCATGATAAATAACCCAAGTTTCTCCTTGAGGCATTGATGCTTCTGCAATCACAAAACAAGTTACAATGTCGGATTTTTCATGCTTTTGTTAGATGGAAAATGTTTCATATGCATTTGTTCCAAGGAAGATGTTGATAGAGACCAATCAAATTTTACACTCACTTTATTTTACTTTTTCTTTTCTCTTTACTTTTAAAAATACAAAATTTATTTCTTAATGGGTATATTATTCCTAAAATTAAGTCCTTAAGTGGTTAATAATGTGTCTTAGCATTATTTTTCTTATGAATACTCCATGTCAGTTATATGGTATTAAAACAAATTCTCTTTACAATGTATTTTAAGGGAGAAAAAAGAGATAATGATATCTTCACACCTTAATAAATTTTTGTATTACAAAAAGAATGAGAAAAGGAACACAAAATAATACATTTCAACAACTAATTATATAAATGTATTAGTTATATATAAATATATTGAAATATCTAAGATATTTTTTTCCATTGCTACATAGTTATATTTAGTATTGTAATTCTAAAACAACTTTTGAAGATCTATCAATATTAAAATACATAAAAGATGATAGTGATTGAGATAGTTTTTTAACATTATAATAACAATTTTAAGAGAATTATGTACAGACAATAGAAATATATATATATATATATATATATATATATATATATATATATATATATTATTTCCTTTCCAAATCGCATATTATGTCAACGCAACCTTGAACAAGAACCATTCCTTAAAATGCGAAAGAAATAAAAAAATTGTTTGGATGAATGAAGATGAAAAAGATAATATAAAAATCCATAGTAATTAAAAGTAGATTTTATTTTTCTTGAAATAGTATTATTTGATTTATAAAAAATATGTTGGAAAGGGAATTCCAAAAATCTATTACTCCTTGATTCCGGTATTTTGAATTAGTAAAAGAAAGAAAAGAAAAAGAAAAAAGAAAAGAAGGAAAAGTGTTTTGGTTAAGGAAAGAAAAACATAATAGGAATTTAGGTATGCAGATATGGAGATCTGTTTCCTCTGCGTGGATGGTACCATACAAAGTCTGAACTGGGAAAGAAGAAATAAGTGTGGCTGAGAGGGTGCAGTAAATAATTGTCCTATGCCACAGCCATTAGCATTCACACACTCTCAGATCTATATATTAGGGCGTCGGTGATCCATTCCCATTCCACAGCAATCTTCTTCTTCTTCTTCTTCTGATTCGATTTCTTCAGAATGTCGTTGGGTAGATTGGATTCGTGGAAGCAGCAGTACTACAGCACGAGCGGGGTGGTGGTGGGTTACGCACTGTGTTCGAGCCTTCTCGCCATAATCAACAAATACGCCATCACCAAATTCAACTACCCAGGACTCTTAACGGCCCTCCAATACCTCACCTCCGCGCTCGGCGTCTACGTCCTGGGGAAGCTAGGGATTCTCCACCATGACCCCTTCACAGTCCCCACCGCGAAGAAATTCTTCCCCGCCGCCCTCGTCTTCTACCTCGCCATCTTCACCAACACCAACCTCCTCCGCCACGCCAACGTCGACACCTTCATCGTCTTCCGTTCCCTCACCCCTCTCCTCGTTGCCCTCGCCGACACGGCCTTCCGTGGCCAGCCCTGCCCCTCCAACCTCACCTTCCTCTCCCTCCTCCTCATCCTCGCCTCCGCCGTCGGCTACGTCGCCACCGACTCCGGCTTCACCCTCACCGCCTACTCATGGGCCTTCGCCTACCTCATCACCATCACCACCGAGATGGTCTACATCAAACACATGGTCATGAACCTCGGTCTCAACACNCTTTTGAAGATCTATCAATATTAAAATACATAAAAGATGATAGTGATTGAGATAGTTTTTTAACATTATAATAACAATTTTAAGAGAATTATGTACAGACAATAGAAATATATATATATATATATATATATATATATATATATATATATATATATTATTTCCAAAACATTCTTACTACTATATTAGAGTATCCGAATACTCTATGATAACTATAATGAAATTTGTAAGAAATTACATGTAAAACCTCATAACTATAATTGCAGTTTTGACATTATGCTTCCTAAATTTCGTGAATTTTGTCTTCTAATGTGAATTTCCTCTCCCAGTTAGATGTTAGGAAATTTAAATTTTGATTTATACAATTTTAGAAATCTATTAACTTAAAAAATAATACTATTTAGCGAAAATATCCACTCAAGATTCTGCTTTGTTATCACAATCAAGGCATGATATTCTACTACATTGTCAACATTTTCTTCAAATAATATGGATACAAAGTTCATAAAAAAACAAAAATTATACAGCTAAATTCATCAAAAAAGAAAATGGAGGGATGACTAAATTTGCTAAATGGGAAAACTAAGAACAAAGGGTGTAAGGAAGTCAAACTTTCACACTACATATATTAAACTGTTAATTATATTTACTTAAGAGAAGTAGATACTTTTATTTATGAGATTTCTAAAATGAAGTTAAAAGCAGAAGATTTATGAAGCTAAAGGAAAATGCAGATTGAGAAGAGAAGCAGAAAATGAGGTAAACGGTCTTACCTTTGTACCTCTTGAACAACCAATTCAGGGTCTGGAACTGCAGAGGAAGAAACAAAAGAGGGTGTGAGAAGAGAAAGAGCAAAAAGAAGAATGAAACATGAAAGGGCAGCCATTATTTCTCTTCTCTTTCTTCTTAGTTCTTAGTGGTGAAGTGGGTGGGGAACTTTGGCTGAATTGTGAGAGTTTTATAGAATGAAAAAATAATAATAAAAATATAGAGAGAGAGAAGAAAAAAAGCCGAGAGTAATGGCGTGATTAAATTTTTTGAAGTGGGTCCTCGTTATCGTAATTTGAGGTTTAAGGTAAAAGGTGTTTTACGCTTTGTTCGTTGGTTGTTGTACAAGTAGACATGGTTTGAAACCGTTATATTAGTTCCACTGTGGAAGCCACAAAGTCAAATTCGTTGACCTCAGTGGAAAGGAACCATATAAGGAAGACAGTGAAAGCCACTGCCCCACTCAATTTTAATTTATTGTTTTTCCATTACCATTTCAAGAATTGCATTTTTTTTTAAATTGCTTTTTTGGTTCATTGTATTTTAATTGCTTTTAAATAGTCATTGAGTCATAAAAATGTTGATCCACTGACATAAACTAATCTGGTCCACCCAGAATTTGAGTTGAGTTGGGTTGAAAAAAATTAAAATTTTGATATGGACCAATTTTGAATTTAGTCTTAGAATCTGGTTCATTTAGGCCGTAGTGAGGACAGATTGGCTCGTCAATCCATCTAATTTTGTTTTGTATTTGTTTTTGGATTATATTTAGAGGATGATTTTGGATTGTAGTATATTTTTTTCATTTTGAATTATCTTTGGAATTTAATCTTATTTTGGATTGAAATTTGTTTAGATTTGAATTAGAAAAAAAAATTAAATTGAAAAAAAAATTAATTAAATGAGTCAGTAAGAGTCAGTAATTCAATTTGTTTAACTGGTCGAATTTGAAATTTTTTGAGGTGAACCAAATTAGATTGACTCACTAAGTGATCAATCCAGGGTAAGTTAAATGAGGATGAGTCAATGAGGGTGAGTCAAATGAGCGTGAGTTGAGTGACCTGTTTTGACAATACTAATTGTCCAAAAGGAAGTATAATGTTGAAGCCTTGGTTTAGAATAAGATGAAATTAAATATGTGATTTAATTAAAGAAATTTTTTAAATATTGTTTTTCCTAAATTTTGGAATACAAGAAACTGTTTATATTCTCCGTTGAAAATTTTGTTGTCGATGATTGGTATGGTATTGGATTATGTTGACTGGAGTTGTTACAGTATATGGTTATTATCTCCCCTTTCTACGGTTCTTCTTCCCTTAAATTGTGGCATGTTTCATTAGGGTGTGATCCACATGTATACACCATACTTAGCTACATTATGGCTTTGGCTCTTCCAATATCATCATTTTAATTAGGGATTGTGTGACCCCATCCACACTCTATATGGTGTAAAAGAGTCTAAGTGGTTTGGATATTTATTAAATACTTTGAGATGCTCACATTAAATAAAATAATATAAAAATATTAAATAATATAAGTTTATATCTTTTTATAGGTTTTTGCTTTCTATTTATGAGAATTTATAAGAACTAAAAATGCATCGCATGTCTGGAATTGGTGTTAAAAAAATATGAATTTTCTTCTTAAGACTCATCTTAAAACTTTGTACAGTATTTTATTATTCATTTTTAAACTTTTATCTTATTTTAATGAAAGTTTCTTATAAAACATGGCTTAAAATTCTTTTTTTTCCTGCTAAATCTTATGAAAAATTTAATTAGATTCTTAATTTTTATTTAGTTTAATTTAATTTTTTAGTTTTTAAAACTTATTCAATTAGGGTTTTTTTATTAGATTGGTCTTAGATTTCCATTAAAACTTATACATTAAATCTTTTCACTTAGATAATATAAATATTTAAATTAATTTTATTTTATAAATAAAATTATTTAATGTATAAATTCTAACAAAAATTTAATATTAATTTAACGAAAACGGTCTAATTTATTTTTAAAAATTAAAATATTAAATTGAATCAAATAAAAATTAAAAATTTAATTGAATTTTTTTTTATGAAAGTTAGGAGAAAAAAATAGAATTTCAGTAAAACAAAATTTTTAAATTAAAGATATTATTGTAAAGAGTAAGACTATCTACTTGTCTGTTTTGGAAGATAGCCACCTCACAACTTTCTTTTAAATAAGTTAACGTACTTCTAATTAAATATTTTTGTAGTTATATATATATATATATATATATATATATATATATATATATATATAACATTTGTTTTATTCTTTATGAATTAGTATCGATGTAGCATGTGGCCAAATTTAGGACACGGGTGAATTAATGTTCACACTGCATTCTTTCTTTGTCTTCAATATTACTTTGGTATATGCATAGTTCTTATGAATGAATTCAGATTTTCTACTATATGTTTTATGATGTCCGCATTTTAAATATATTTTTGTGATATATTAATTCTTATTAATATAATTTAAAATATAAAATCAGTATAATATTGTCATGATAACAAAACTATAACGAAGAGGATGAGAATAAGAATGAAACATATTTTATTATCTATCACTGCGTATTTACACAAGGGATTTCAACCATTTTAAAAAATATAAACTATAATATTTAAGTTTTTGTTATCAAATTATTTTCAATTTTTTAAAAATTTTGTTTAGATCGAGTAAATAAAATATCTTAATTTCAATTTTATTGTTTTGATAAAGCAATTGAATTTATTTCTTCTAAGATAAAATTTCACAATAAAAATGCATATTTTTAAATTAAAATTAACAAAAAAAATGGTAGTTAACTTTCAAAATTAAAGTAACATTTAATAATTCAATATTTTTTTAATAAATAAATAGATCAAATGGACTTTGAAGTGTCTTGTAACTGAGATATCAACTCTCACCGTAATACTTAGTATGAGTTTATTTGGGGATTTAATATTCTTTATATATATATATATATATATATATATATATATATATATATATATATATATTGTATAGTGTGTATAGAAAGTAAAACTATCTCGGCCTAACTCAAAGCATTTGGTCCTGATGATTAGTTGAAGCTAAAAAATCTCAATAGATCAAAAAGTCCACAGTATCAAAAGAGTAATAAAGACTAAAATAGTTAAGTTAAGTCGAAGGTCAATTTGAGTTAGTCCAAAATGAAGATTGAGTTAAGATAGTTGGAGCTTGAGGTCGGACTAAGTTATTCAAGACAGAATGAAGTCGAGGTAGACTATTCAAAAAGTTGAGTCAAGTAGGCCTAGACCAAAGGTCAAGCCAAGCCAACTTCAACAAATGTCCAGTTGAATTGGCCTTGGGCTGAAGATCGAGATGAGATGGCCTGACTAAAGGTTGAGTGAAATCGGTTAGGTTAAAGAATTAAGTCGACCTAGACCGGATCAAAGGTTAAGCTCAATCAATTGGAGCTGAAAGTCAAGCCAAGTCAATTAAGCTAAAGAATCGAGTCAAGCTATCGGACTGAAGGTCTATTAGAGTTGACTTGGTTCGAAGGTCAAGTAGAGGCCTAGTTTGAAGGTCAAATAGAATCAGCAACCTAAGGTTAATTTGAGTTAGTTCGACAAAAGTCAAGTCAAGTTAGTCTGGGTCAAAGGTTAACCTAATCAAATAATCAAGTCATGTTAATCCAAATAAAGGTTGAGTCGAGTCAATTATGATCTAAGGTCGAGACAAGTCAATTCGGTCCAAATGTTGACATGAATCCATGTAAACAAATGTCGATCCACTAACTCATGTCAATATCTAAATTGACTTAAACCAAAGGTAGACTCAAATCTATTGAACCAAACGAGTCCATCTCGATTGAAAATTAAGTTAAACATATTAGAATAAAAAGTCGAAACAATAGAAAAAAAATATAAATTTAATACTCAATATAGGAAGATAGAGAAACATTCCAAAAAATGATCCCAAACGAAATTGCAGTAGTCTCCCTCAAGCTGGAGATGACGGTAGTCGTCTCAAGCTTAACAAAAGCTAATCTTTCCGTAATAGGCAAAGCAACATTTTTAAAAAAAAAAAAATCATACATTGTTATATGGTGAATCAAAGTTGAAAGAAGTGGACTATGTTAGTCCAATTTATTTTTTTTAATCAGTTTGGTCTCACTCTTGATCACATTTCAGGTTGATTTCACTATTAATAAAATCATTAATAATCAAATATGGACAGTTTAATTCTAAAACTAGCAATTTGAATTTCAATCATAAAAATATAACATTACTGTATTTTTTCAATAAAAGAGAAATTTGATTGAACCTTGAAAACGCCATAATTGACACTTTTTTTACTAAATTGAATAAAATAAATAAATGATAAAATTAAAATAATTATAAATGGTTTTATTTTGTATTGAGAGCAAAGAGATTTTACTTTTTGGCGTGATCAAAGCAGTAGAAACTGAAATAAAAAGAGTAGGCAGTACACATGGTACACATAATTAAACAACCCTAACTTTATCGTGTTTGTGTGCTGGTTGGGCAACATTTCCTTTATCTTGGGCCAATCGAACAACCAATTCCAATTGATTTTGCCACTTTCTATTATTGGGACATATTTTCTCAACCCTACTTTATTATCATGGCTGTTGTTGACTTAGTGATGCCCTAATTTAAGCACATATATACATAACCATGGTCTCACTTGTTACGGGCGGATTTTAGTAGGAAGAAAGAATTTTGATTTTCTAAATTCATTGTCAATTTTTTTTTTCTAAGAGTGAAATAGGGATTAGTGTTGATGATGATTAAGGAATGTGTAATTATTTTATAATAGTGGTGAATACAAATATGAAAGGAAGAGAAGTTTGTCAACTATGAGTGGATAATGACTTCCAATTATTTTGTTCAAATAGGAAAATTTTAGAAATGACGTTTGAACAGTGTTTTAAATTTCTTGCAAACTAATGTTTAATTTTCTTTGCGGATCAGGAGATCCAACTGTGAGTTTAAGTCTTACATTGGATAAAAATAAGAAAGTAGAGTGGTATATAAAGGTGAAAGACCAATTAACTCATTGTTTTAAGATTTTAAATAAAGAGTGGTGTTGATCCTTTATATAGTTGGCTCAGCTCTTAGTAGTGTTTGTATAATTCACATGAAACTTTT